TTCGAAGTTGTAAACCATAGTTTAGGACTTTATGGTCTAAATAGAGTATGACAGAATGGGCATTTACATCACACAATGAATTTGTCCATAATCTCAACTATATGCTCTTTTAAGGTTTAAACGGACTCAAAATAACATTTGCATTACTTTCGAGGCATGCAAGTGTACTTTACCTCCGTTTTACCTCGAAAGGACATATGATTGAAATGGAGGCATTAAAATTGATTTGTAATCCATGGTGATTAATAACAAATCTTTTTGCATGATTAGGCTCAATGGGAAAACTAGACATCCAAGTAATTTCCATTCCTCGAAAGGAACTCGTTGCTTGGTGGAAAGGCATGTCCAAGGACAATCAAACTTATGTCCAAGAAAGACTTGGATATCTTCTCGAGCTTATGCATGTGGAACATCAAGTTAGCTTAGTTCAAGCTTTGACACATTTTTGGGAAGTTTCCACCGCCACATTCCAACTGGAGAACATAAATTGGTACTAACATTAGAAGAATATCAAGCCGCCATTGAAATTAATTCTAAACCTAGGGTCGTAGAGCCACCCATTGGATTTAATCCTGTGAGCCCTTTAGCCGAATTTCTTAACCTCAAAGCTTCCAAAATCGAAAAGTTAATCAAATCAAACACGGGTAGATTTCCATTATCCTTCCTAGTAGACAATTTTTCAAAACTTCCTAGGGAAATGGGAAACACTTAGGACCGGGTATTCATTCTAGCTTTCTTCGGCTTTATTCTATTCTCCGTATCCAGAACGGGATTAGACCCTTTAGTCTCTGTGATCGCAAGACAAGCATGTCTTAAGTGGGACTTCTCTAATATGCTTCTTGCCCAAACCGTCATTTTCTTAAACACATACCAAAATCGTGGGAGGGGTATCTTTCAAGCTTCTACTGATCTTTTGTCATTATGGTTCTTCTCACACATTCGACCATGGTGTCGTTTCATGAACATTCGCGAAATTTGTTTGGCGACAAATCCAATCGAACGATATATTCGTCTCCAAAGCAAATTACCCAAACAATATTTCTTAGATTGGGCCATTTTCATTAGAGCCCTAACTCCTGATCAAATCCAATGGCGGATTAATTGGCCAAAAATTAGCAAAGCAAAGATCACAAGCCGAGAGGGAAATGTGGTACCATTGCTTGGTTTGAGTGGAAGAACAGCTTATTGCCCTCTAAGGGTTATAAGACAATTCGGGATACTTCAACAAGTTCCACCGATATGGAATCCCGAAGAGTTCACCTTTGATATCCCAAGTGGAACTATACCTGAAGAAAAGAAGAATAGCCTTCAAGCTAAAATTCACAAAATTATCTTATCTTTGGATAACCCACTCGAACAAATAATCGAGTAGACAAAAAGCTTGGAAGAAGACATGAAGATTTGCATGGCCTCCAAAGAATACATCAAATGGATGGAAAATAAGCGTCCAATTGATGTCAAGCTATATGTCCCATTGAGCGTTGTACCGGATCCTATAGATGAATATGTCCCGGAATACATTGTTCCAAATATGCCTGGAGTGGAACCATACATTCCTGAAGAGGTCGTGATCGATGTAGAAGAATGGGAATCTCGAGCCAAGGAATGGGAGGAATATCAAAAGACAGAAGCTACCATAGCTAGCAAGAAGCTTAAGATTGGATGATTTAGATTTCCATTTGAGTTTAAAATCTCGATGTTAAACAATTTCAAATTTTATATGCAATGATTAGTTGATCACTTTTTAAACATGCATGGATAATTTCAAAACATGATTTCAAAACATAAAGGAATCACCATGGATTACAATTCTTTGAATTGTATGATTGCTTGAGAAAGATATTGATGAAGAATTTTATACAAAGCCAAGGCTTGTATGAAATTTCTTATCCTTGACAATCTCATGAAACCATACAATTAAAAGAATGTAGGGTTTCATGATTATTTTACTATGCTAATATCGGGTCTTTTTTATGAAGCAGGTTGTTTAGCAACGGAAGGTAAAAGACCTCGGACTCGCTTACAAGTTAGAATGGTGGAAGAAGAGACTCGTGCTCGACTAGCTGAAGTCGAGAACCAAATGACCCAAATGGTTGCAATGATGGTAGAAATGAAGGCTTTTATTCCCGCATCTCGAGGATCTTATCCTGCTACTCCAAATGTGGGAACTTCAAACGCTACCGAAACACCGATTGAAGACCCAGTCAGAAACAAAGAACCGGTTCAAGAAAATCCTCCAAAGACTACGCCTGAGGTGGTAAATTTGGAAGATGATGATCAAATCAAGAAGACATCCAAAACAAAGGATGAAGAAGAAGCGAAAAGATTAGCCAAAATTGAAGAGTGCTTAGCAAGCCAAGGTTATGAACTTCAAAGGTTCGACAAGTTCTCGCCGTATGCGAAGGTGGTTGTTCCAGAAAATTATAAAGAACCAGAGTTCGTGAGCAAGTATGATGGCACTGGTTGTCCCAAAAGCCATTTGAAGTATTATCTCCGTAAGATGGCGAGATATTCAGATAACACACCACTTCTTATTAGCACATTTCAAGATAGTTTGAGAGGAGCGGCCCTTGCATGGTACACATCCCTCGACATAGAAGACTTCACTGAATGGGATCATTTGGCAGGAGAATTCTTTCGCCAGTACAAGTTTAATGTTGAAGTGCTCCCAACTAGAGAAGATCTCATCAGAACCAAGAAACGAAAGAATGAAGGGTTCAGAGCTTATGCTCAGAGATGGAAAGCTGTTGCCTCACAAGTAAAGTCCGCCATAAGTGAAGACGAGCTCATTGAGCTCTTTCTAAAATCATTGCCAATTGAGTATTATGACAAGCTTCATGTATCAGGCCGTCAAACATTCACCATGTTGGTAAAAGTGGGTGAGAGAATTGAATGAGGATTGAAAGAGAAGAAGGCTCAAGAAATAGCAACACGAAGGCCTTACCTCGCGAAAAAAGACAAAGAGCCCATCCGAGAAGTGGCTATGGTGTCTAGCCCAAATACTCATCAAGCATCATTTCCAATGTAATCAAATGTCGCTTGAAAAAATCCAAGGCAGTTCGAGCCAAATAAAAGACCCATGAAGCAATACACACTATTGCCCCGACCCCTGTCAAAACTATTACCAATGCTTTTAGAAAGGCATTGGTAGCCAAAGAAGTACCGAGAGACAATCCCGTAAGATTTTCTTGATACGATGAATCAAAAACCTGCACCTATCACATGGGAGAAAGGGGACATGATGTAGATAATTGTCCCACTCTAAAGTACAAGGTTCAATAGCTCATTGACAAGAAGATATTGAACTTTCAAGAGCCCGAGCCAAATGTACATCAAAATCCTCTTCCCGAGCACAATACGGTAAACATGATCAAGGATGAAGAAACAGTGATCAAGTCTGACAGTGAAGATGAATATGAGGTCAAGGTTAAAGCTTATCGTTTAGGAGATGCCCGCTTTTGTCAAGAAGCACTCCTAAAAGGTGAGATCATGGACAACTTAGGAGAAGACTCCGGAAAATAGAACTTCCAAGTGAAATATACCCTACCGTCATGGGCATTCAAAAATGAAGTAATTGTATCTGATGGCTGGGGTGGTATGGATGATGAAATCAGCCTTGAGGAGAAAGCCCTGCCTAAGAAGGAAATGCTTCAAGATGAAACAGATAAGGATGAAAAGGAGAAAGAAAAAGTCCGACAGGGTGAAAGGCGTTTCACCCACAAATCATCTAGGGAAGGTGAAATCGTAGACTTATTCGGTCAAGACAGCGGTAAATATAATTACCGTGTCAAATATACTCCACCACCATGGGCGTTTAAAAATGAAGACATTGTACCGGACAGATGGGGTGGCATGGACGAGGTCCCGATCAGCCAACTAAATCTCCAGGAGAACGAAGATCGGGAAGAGAAAAAGAAGAAAAAGACTCGCCGAGGTGATAAGCTATTTGTTCGAAAAGCATGAAGATAAGGTGAAGTTATTGATTTTTTGGGTAAAGATAGTGGCCGGTATAATTACTGTGTCAAATATACACCCCCTTTGTGGACATTCAAGAGTGAAATAATCACACCTGATGGCTGGGGTGGAATGGATACTGGCAAAGTCAATAGAAGCATGGTATCCATGATTACATCATTTCTAATCAAGCTTGAGGAGATAGATAAATATAAAGAGGAGGAAGATCCTGTCAAACCAATCACTATCCAACTTCCCATTGATCAGCTAAGGATCGAAGAAAAAAAACATAATGTCACGCCCCGAACCCCGACGAGGGCGCGACACCCCAAGATCGGTCAAAAAGTGCGACGTCCCAGGAAACATCGCCGACCCAACCCAAAACATCATAATCAAATGCAGCGGAAACGATTACACAAATCCCTGACGATATAATCATGGGGTAATAGGGAGAGACAAATCACCAAACCATCAAACACTATATTACACCCACAATATACAATATCCAATACAAGCTAGCACACCAGCAAACTTTCGAAACTAACGACCGCCAATAACAAAAAGGGACTAGCAGCCCGGTAGACTAACCCTTTATCAAAAAGACTCCTCACCAAAAATAGGTCCAACCCCTAAAACTCCTAACTAACCCCTAGTCGCTCTAGATGGGGGGTCCACTCAGAGTCAGATTCATCGAAGTCAGTCTCATTCCCTGAAGACTCCGAAGACTCAGCAGGCTCAGAATCAGCTTCGATCACAATGGGGTCATCTATATCTCCCGATTTCCACGGGACCTCAGCCGGTTCCTCATCCTCAAGCTCCACTTCTTCAGGCTCTTCCTCCTGTTCCGCTTCGGGCTCTTCTTCTTCGGGTTTCTCCTCGGGCTCTTCCTCGGGCTCCACCTCTGGATTCTCCACTGGCTCCATCTCTACGGGTTCATCGTCTGAGCCTAGATCCATTGGAATCGGTCCTTGGTAAGGTACCTCGAGCTCGGGTTGTGGTTCAGCCACCATAGGTACGGACTCAGCGGGGGTAATCGAAGGGGCCGACTATGCAGGGCCAGGGCCGGTACTAGTCAACTCACCATCAAGGGGAGGAACGGTAAAAGGATCCCAGTCTCCAAATGCATTGTAGGGAGCATCAAAACCTCTAGCAGGCCCGAATTCCTTTGCCCCATCCCGGAAAGTCCAGGCTGTATAAGTGTGAGTCTGCCACTCTGGGACACCTACGTCTACCTGAATCTCACTGGTGTGCTTAATCCAAGTATACTGTTCATCTATAGGGAACTCTACTGTTGAGTGGTCAAAAAGCATTGGTATTCCAAAACGGTGAGGCGGCTAATTATCTATTATCCAAGTCTGAGGTCTGAAATGGTTTTAAGTAAAACCATGAGATCACATCTCAGCAAGTAACACCCTAAACCCAACCTAGGCTAACACGTATCTCTGGTCACATTCAAGCACGCCAATCACACAATCAGTAAACCAGAACAATTGCAGGCACCAACAATTCAACTTGATACACACGAAACTTCACATGCTAAATCAAACGCTACCATTGACAACCGATAACATGCCATACTCAAAGATGCCATTCAAACTAAAACCACACCAATATTCGCATAATAGATACAACATCACACTTTCATCATTTCACTCAGGCGCACGCATCCAATTCATTTCTGACCCGCGTAAACACGCCTCAGGTCCAACAACACTTCTATAGCCCACGTAAACGAACATGCCTCAGGCTCAGTGTCTCTAGCCCGCGTAAACGAACACGCCTCAAGCGCAACACCGATCTCCTTTTTTTATAACACAACCCGCGTAACACGCATTAGGTTGAACAACACTTCTATAGCCTGCATAAAAACGCCTCAGGCTCGGTGTCTCTAGCTCGCGTAACACGCCTTAGGCGCAACATCGTTCTCCCTTTAACGGCATAACCCGCGTAAAACGCATCAAGTTGTGTAACATCCTGAATTTCGACCAATTTCAGGGATCAATGAGATTGATATTATTCTCATTTAATTTTAGTAAGTCTCACCCGGAACGGATCCTTCATGGGATACTGACTAATAGGGAATGGCTAATTAGGAAAACGGTACGTGGACAAGGGACCCGATCGCGAATCGAGCACTGATTCCGAGGAACGACGAGGGAATATTTTGGGCCAATGTGGGCCGATCCTAGGAGGTGATGGATTTAGTTTGGCCAGTGACGTACGATCGGATCGCGGGTGATTCCGCACGATCGAGAGTACGCGTGGCGAACAAATCCCGAACTTGAACCGAACGATCGTGACCTCCGGAACTAGCGATAATTCCGCGCATTCTCCTAGTAATCGAGACCGTCACGACTCGAGTAACCTTAGGTCGATACGCGTAACTCCTAAACAGCCACCCATTAGTGAGAGACCCTAAAATTGTAATTGAGCAATTTTGATCGTGAAATTGGATCCGGACTTGGACGTCGAATTTCGTGGGCGTGTGCGACTATTTTGTGAGAACGACGTCATTTTAGTGTGGCCAAATATATTTGGGGTCAGTACGGTCGAAAAATTGAAATTCGGCCCGAAATCGGAAAATGACGATTTTGCCCCTAGGCCTATTTTTGGTATTCCGCATTTTGGGAGAATTATTGGAGGGCAATTTGGGGATTTAATTGGATATTTCAGCCCAATAATTCAGAAATATTTTGGACTAAAATGCCCTTGGATATTTTGATAAGGTTTAATCCTAACCTTTGATTGTAAGGGCAAGATGGGCATTAATCAAGGATTGATCAAACCTCCTCATTACACCCCCAATAATTTATATTCTCTCTCACCCTCTCTCTCTCTTCATTTTTCCCTCCCCCTCTCGCCGGCCATCTCTCTCTCCCTCTCAATCTCGTCCATTCCTCTCTCTCTCGGCCGAGAGCCGCCGCTCGCCGGAGGAGCGCCGCCGTCCACGCCACGGCCACTCGCCGTGCACTGCCACCCCCACTGATCACCCCCTCACTCTCTCGCCGTTCTCTCCCTCCCTCGTTCGGCGTGAGGACCACGCCGGAGCCGCCACCGTGGGAGACCGACCGCCGAAGGCCGCCGCTCGTCGCCGCCGTGCCCGCTGCCAGGAACCGCCGGTTCAGCCGCCCTTTTCAACTTAGGATTAGGTGAATATAATCCTCTAAACCCTAATTAGGACAATTATGCATTTCTAGACGGGTTTAGGGTAATTTAGTGTTTGATTAGTACAATTTAAGGGTTAATTAGACCGTTAGAGCTTGATTATTGGATTATGGACTAGATGAGAATGTGCTAATTGGTGGCTGCCTTATCGGGATTGATTGGGACCAAGTTCGGCTATTTTGGGGGGGGGGGGGGAATTATGGTGCCGATCATAGTGGCTGGTGTTGTGATAATTTTGGTGGATTAACTGGTCGTGTATGTGGAGAATTATTGGCCTAGACAGACCTGTCCATGGCTGTTCATACCGGGGATTAATTGGACTAAGATCGGACGAGTTGGGGTTTAATTGTGTATGTTCGGAAATGCCTTAAATTGTCTAATTGGTGGCTGATTTATGCTGATTTGGAGGCGAATTAGAAGCAGAGAAAGTGCTGATTAGTGGCTGTCCACATCGAAGATTAATCGGATCAAGTTTGGACAAATTGGGAACTAATTGTATGATTGCCGGGAGTGCCTTGATTGACCGATTAATGGTTGATTTGTGCTTGAGTGTGCTCAATTGTATATTGCCATGCCGCGTCTTTGTATGGCCAATTAGTGCGGTGTGTGATTGGCCAATAATTGGCGTGAATTCTAGTGCCCAAGTTTATGAATTGTGAATGCCAATTGCGTGTTGTGCCAAATGGTGTTAAATTGGCTAAGTGAGCATGTTAATGCGAATAATTGGGCACGTGTGGTTGAATTGGATTATTGGTTTAATTGGGCAAGTTCTTGGCGGCATTGAACACGTTGTAATGCCCGTTGATTTTGGCATATTTTGTTGAGGTGCCTATGTTGGGATTTGATGCTCATAGTAGATTGCATTATTGCTCGAGTGCGGGAATTTCATGGCCACGCATTTCGTATGCTGAAAATGGGCATGAGACAAAAATTGTACAAGTATGCGGGCCTGACATGAGCATGTGATCACTCAAAATGCCCTGATACGTTTTACGCGGGGTTCAGATAAAACTGGCTGTGTGCATGTGTGATCACTAAGAACCCTGATGCGTTTTACGCGGGGTTGAACCGTCCTGATGCGTTTTACGCGAGACGATGCCCGGTTCTACCAGAAGACGGCCAGCCTGATGCGTTTTACGCGGGTTTTGGTCCGTAAGGAGATCGGTGTTGCGCCTGATGCATTTTACGCGGGCCAAGAAGTGTTGGTATTGATTATAGACCTGATGCGTTTTACGCGGGTCAGACCTGATGCATTTTACGCGGTTCGGGCTCTAATTGAGAAAATGAGCAGTGTGCCAGTGTGCAGTATTGAGCTCGATCATGATCATGGTCATAATGACGGCATGTGTATGCAAGAGTGGTTGGTAAGTGTGCGAGTATGTGCGACTCGTTGATTTGTGTGCGGCACAGGCACTAATGAGTATGAGCATGCGTATTGCGTACGTGTGATTAAGTGTGATCTCGTATGTGCCATGAGTATTATTGTGCTATGTCTAACCTACAAGGTCAGTGATGTACTCGATCTGGACCCGAAGGCCTAGGTTAATTGTTGTTACTTTGGCTGTTGCACTGTTCTGTGTTTAGTTTGCCTGTCAGGAGGTGCATGTTAGCTTAGTTTAGGTTTAGGGGGTTTTACTCGCTGAGATTCGTCTCATTGTTGTTAAAACCCAATATTTCAGACCCCCAGCCATGAACCCAGGAGGCTCGCCTCTTCGTTTTGGGATCCCCAGTCAAGTGGATAAGCAAGAGGTGGAGTACCCTCTAGGAGATGATCGATCTTATATCAAGCACTCGAGTGTAGTTTGGATTGACGAAGGCGGAGTATACCTGAAGCCGTATTCCTATATAGCTTGGACATATCGAGATGGCTTAGAGAGGAGACCGATCCGTTTTTGGTTCGTGGTGTATATGTTGTTGTATTGGATAATGTATATGTTTCCCTAGTTAATACTAGTGAATTTTTGTTATCCCATTGTGTGTTGGTTGGGGCTATCCTTGGTCTGTTGTTTGATATTGTACGGGTGTTTTCATATTGCTTCCGCATGTGCCTTGATCTTTGCGTTGGGCGTTGGGTCGGCGATGAGTCCTGGGACGTCGCACTCAAATTCGACCTATGTTTGGATGCTCGCGCGCCGTAGGGTTCAGGGCGTGACATCCCCGTTTGATTTGGTATCAAAGCAAGGTTAGCTCGGTCCAATTCGTTCGAAGCCTGGAGTGATGAGGAGCGATGACCTTGGGTAGCTTATAGGGAGACCTTTTGTGCTAAGTGTACCTCCTGACTATCTGTGCTTTGATTGAGTGCATATGTGAAATGACCCGTAAAGTGCAGGTGCGGCAGGACCTCATGTAAGTACGCGTACCTCCTTGAATGAGGTCTTGTGCTGTTTGAGCTTAGTCGCATGCTGAGTGGTTGAATGATGTTTTGATTCCCTGCCTAGGACCTTAGACCGGTTTAGCTTGGTTCAGGTCTCTAATTCCTGAGTGAAATCATAGCAGGTATGTGAGTGGTGATAGAAACCTAAAAGGTTGAGTTTGAGAGGTAGAGATATAAGGGGCCAATCAAGTTTTGAGAACCAAGCAGCAATGGACCCGTGAGTGGATAGGGTTGTGAGGGCACTTGAGGAAATTGGTAATCTTATAAGTAGGCAGGCTCAAGAGCGAGCTGCCACTAAAGCTCAGGCTGTTGAGGCCGCTGCAGCTGCTGCTATTGGTAATAATGAAAGTCCTGATTAAGGTCAAGAAAATGCAAGTGATTGGTAGAAGGCCACCAGATGAAGAGTGTTTCCTGCTGGTACCACTCAGATTTGGATTGTGTTTGTTGAGGCCTTCAAAGGCAAGTGCTATCCCGAGAGGGCATGAGAACGGAAGTTGGTTGAATTTATGAGGTTCCATTAAGGACAGATGACAGTGGACCTGTATGAAGCTGAGTTTGCTAAGTTATCCAGGTTCGCCCCAAAAATAATGAGGGACCCATTGGATAAGGCCCGGAAGTTCCGTGATGGATTGAAACCGGATTTCCGTAGTGAGACGATATCGCTGAGTCTGAAGGGCTATAAGGAGATTTGTGGACAGGCCTAATTAATTGATCATGATGTGATAGAAAGGGCTGCCACTTTTGTGATT